AGGTAGTGGCAGCTAGCGCTGCCATAGCTGTAGCATAGCGTGTGTGTGTGTTGCGTATGATACTGAGTGTTGCGTGTGGGACATCCAGGGTGATCCAGAGTGCAAACAGTGAGTTGTGTGGGCGCCCAGTCGCCATAGCCAGTTGAAGAGAACTCATATCTGGTTATGATATCTTAAGTACTGTCAGGGCGCATGTCGCCAGTTGCTGTATCGCTGTTTGCATGCAAGACAAGTGTGAATAATCGGAGTGTGATTGCACAGTACACCAAATATCATATATTGAACTACAAATTGATTTATAATTTTTCTGGTTTTCTGCTTTTGTATTTTTTGTTGGTCACATCTGGGTTGTCTTGTGTGTGTGTGTGTGTGGACATGTTGTGCCTGTGCATGTTTGGGCTTGCCCTCTGTGTGTATTTGAGCGAGTGCGCATGCCTTTCCTCTGCCGCAGGGAAGCGAAAAGAAGGTGCACATCTGTGTATCTCTGTACAGGGGTCATACCTATGTTTCCCATGAACATGGCATCAGGGCAGATGAGCTTGGTGCAGAATCAAGAATGCTGCTCCATGAGCGTAGGGGTCATCCTTAACCCCGATGGAAGGTATTTGCGAACTCTTTTCTTCTCTACCTGTCTACTCATAGACTGGAAGAAATAGGAAGGCAACCGTCTGTGTGGGACTGATACTGTGATTGCCTCTGAGGAATAGGTGACCTGACAGCCGCTAAGCATTCCAATCGTGAGAGAATTCTTGCAAGCTACTAACCGTTGACAATGGTAGGCAACTGCAGGATGCCAAGAACTTGGATCCGAGGGAGGAGGGGGATGTCCCTGTGAAGAGTCTGGCTCTCCCTAGTCCTCTTGGATACATCCCATGTCCATCCAGTTTGTGAATCTGCACTGGACTAAGGTGACGTGCAAGCTTTTCTGTGAGTTTGCGACATATGTCTTGAAGCCATCAGCTTTGAAGAGTACACTAGCAGGAAGAGGAGAAAAGCAAAATCACATTATGACAATTTGGACCTTGTTGATATCGATTTGGTTGGGAAGCCAAGACTGGTAGAAAAGCAAAATTGCTTTATGATAATGCGAGTGTGGTGATATGCATTTGGTTTGGGGAAGCTAAGACCGGTACGTTGGGCCTCAATAAGTAACACATCAGGCTGCTGATAATAGTGCAATGGAACTCACCGTAGCTTGTGATGAATAATTGAACATAATTGCAGAAAGGGATAACATCATTACAGGGTTACAGAAATTCAAAAACAAAACAAGAAGTGCAGCATTTCAGACACCTCCACAAAGCAAGGCAAACTTGCTTTTACAACAACCTACATCCTGCTGAACTGATCATGTAATAGCCTCGTACTGCTGTGATACTGAAGGTTCTTGTGTTAGGATGATATGCCAAAAATGGGGCCTTAATGGACAATGAAACAAGTACAAAATAATAGGCCCCCCAGTCAGTGGCTTCCAATTTGGTATGGCAATGCCTCTATCTCATACTTGCGGCGCATTCTGTGCGTGGGGTCATGGCACATGCGGCGCAGAGCGCACGCGCACGTGATGCTGCGCATCACCAAAAAAATAAAAATAAAATTCTTTTTGAAAGGACAGGGTGGGGTGGCCAAAATCAAACTGCAAGAGGGAAAAAAGTTGGGGCCACCACATACCCCAACACTGTGAGCACATGTGTGTGCGTGTGGGTGTGGATGTCCTAATTGTGTCCAGTCTCATTTCCGAAGGGCCCCTACAAATTAGCAAGGACCCCTCATGGAGCAGAGATGGACATTAGACTTCTAGTTTGTCTGCGTGGTCCGAGGATATATAGTCTGGATTCGAATTCAGGTCTGTGCATCACAGTTATGGGTCACTAATTCTCTGTTCTCTTGTTTTTCTTTTGTTTGTCGTTTTTCTTTTGTTTTCTCGTTTTTCTTTTCTTAGGAGTACGTGCAGTGGCCCTAAGGGCCTCTACTCACCACATGCACAAAAGACAAAACATATGGCGGCGTATTCCATGTTCTAGCAGAAGATTCATTCTAATTCTGCACATTTGCAGTGGCCCTAAGGGCCTCTTCTCACCACATGCACAAAGACAAAGCATATGGCGGCGTATTATTCCACATTCTAGCAGAAGATTCATCTAGGCTGGTCCCCGGGCTGCCCGGCGACCTGGTGGTCGCCCGGGGGGGGGGGGGAGTTCGGCCGTTTTCAATGCGGGGGGCCTTCTTCCCCCCAAAGGAGGCCGTCCAGGCCAACAAAGTTAAAAAAAAAAGGGCTGGTAGGCCCGATTTCAAGAATTCGAAATCGGTCCAGGATCGACGGCCCAGATGGGCCGCGATTTCGAATCCCTGAGGGCGGGAACCACCGGCGCTTGTCCCCTCCCCTGGGACCTCTCCCGCCCGACGCCTCACTTCGCCCGACGCCACACTTCAACAGGATCTCCGCCAACACCCGCCAATGCCCGACGCCCGACGCCTCACTTCGCCCATCGCGCTGTCGCGCCAATGTAAGTGGGTTAGTAGTAGTAGAGAGCGAGCGAGAGAGAGAGAGAGAGAGAGAGAGAGATTCTTCTTCTTCCTCTTCCTCCTCCTCTTCTTCTTCTTCCTCTTCCTCCTCCTCTTCTTCTTCTTCTTCGTCGTCTTCTTCTTCTTCTCCCCCTCCTCCTTCGCTTCTTCTTCTTCGTCTTCTTCTTCTCCTCGTCCTCCGCTTCTTCTTCTTCTTCTTCTTCTTCTTCTTCTTCTTCTTCTTCTTCTTCTTGTTGCTCTTCCTCTTCCTCTTCCTCTTCTTCTTCTCCTCTTCCTTCTCCTCCTTCGCTGCTTCTTCTTCCTCTTCTTCTT